CCCCATCAGCCGCTGGTCGGGTCTCAGCCGGCTGTCCGTCGGGGCCACCCGCTCCTCGGGCTCGTTCAGGGTGAGGGCCAGGTCAGAGAAGAAATACATGTTCTCGGCGTTCTCCCTGCGGTCAGAGAAGAAATACATGTTCTCGGCGTTCTCCCTGCGGTCAGAGAGCCCCGATCAGGAGGACGGAGGTGGTGCCCACCTCACGCAGAGCTCCCCAGCCTTTCAGGTCCTTGCGTCTCACCCCAGCCCCATTGATGCTGCTCCTGCTACCCCAAACCTAGAGGTTATTTGGGGAGCCCTGCCTTCCTCCCTCCAAGTGGAGATGCCAATGATGCCTTGAGGGGTGTCAGACCCCTCCTCTCTTGGCTCCGCACGGGAAAACTAAAAGCCAAGCCTACAAGCTCCGAGTGCTGTATGGCACAGCCGAGACATAAAATGGCTCCACCCAAGAGCTGCTGGATCCCCGACTGCAGAACTGGTGGCACCAAGCAGAGGATGCCTTCCACAGAGGATCATTCCAACTGAGCATCTCCAAAATGGGAGCGGCCGTTGGTGCTAGCAAAGGTTGGAGATGGATTTGAGAGCAGCCCAGCTGTGGGTCAGGGTCAGGAGAGGACTGGTGGGACAGGATGGCCAGGGACTCACCAGCAAGGCAAAGCAGCCAACACATCTCCCTGCCATAGTCGGCAGCCCAAAAAACCTAACCAGTACCTCCAACTGCCCAAAACCTACCTGCAAGGGTCCCCCAAAGCCACCCTCCCTTTGCAAGGACCTGCTTTCCCCTCCCGCTGTGTGCTCACACCCCAGAAAAAGCCACAGAGCCACCCAAGTCCTGGTCCCCTTCCCATGTCCCCAGGTCAGGGCACATGAGCCCCCTCCATCCCGCGGGGCTCAGGGTGACACCATCGATCCCCATCCAGCTGTGGCAACCCCGAGCACAGCACCCTGCACGGAGGAGGGGACTCACGGGAGGGGGTACTTCTTCCACAGGACCTTTGGAGACAGTGTTTGGTAGACAGTTTTCTGCTTGCCCTCCATGCTGGTGCTGCCGTGGCTGCTCTGCACTATCTTGGAGCACTCCATCTTCTCGTCCCATGTGCCCGACATGACGTAGTGAGCTTTACCATCAGCATCACTCACCACCCCTGTCACCTGGCAGGAGGAGATGGCTCTGGTGGCGTTTGGCATTGCCCCGAGGACACCCTCCAGGTGCCCCAACCGGAGCAGCCGGACCTGGTGCTGCGTGGCCTCGGACATCAGCTGCACCCAGCAAGGGGGGAGCGTGGGCCCATTCTGACCACGCAGGTGGGTCTCCAGCCCACCAAACCCTTTCCAGGCCCCAGTGCTGCAGCTCCAGCAGACGGAGAGCCGAAGCACGGGCTATGCTCGGCGATCCCCCCAGCCCTCCCTGGTGACCCACGTCAGAGCTGCCAGCGCGGCTCCTTGGCCCCATGCTGGGACCCCGTGAGCCCAGCTCGGAGGTAAGAGCCAGGTCTCCCCCTGCACGAGGCTGCCAGAGGAGCAGGGAGATGGCTGGATACGCACCTTTCGGGGGACATCTCTGGAGAAGTAGCTGTAGGGGGTAAATTTCAGCTGGCATTTATCTTTTGACTTATGGTTAACAATCTCTATTTCACCAGACTAGATAAAAGACACAGAACCACAGCAAGTGAGAGACTTTGCAAGGAGACAAATCAGGCATTAGTCGTAGTGCAGGTTCAAATCAACACCAGCTACAGCATCGCTTCTGGCTGTAGCCAGCACGCCGGCCGCCCCCACCAGCCCCAGGGCTCGCCAGCAGCAGCGTAAAACCCATCACGCGTGTGACCACCCTGCCCCACGGACCTGCTGGCCTTGGGAAGAGCCATCAGGAGCTCCAAGCAGCCTCCCCCCGTCCCTGCCAGGGAAGTACACCTTCCTATTGCGGCAGGAGCATGGTGGGGACACCGGGCAGCCCTGGCATACACCCCAGGAGGGCAATGCCCTTCCAGCCCCCCTGCCCTTCCCCAGAGGCAGGCGAGGCCAGGCAGGACCCATCACCTTGGACCCAGAGCCACTGACCTGGTCAATCCAGAGTTTGCCCACGATGATGTTGTGAACGGTGGAGGTGACTTTCCTCCAGACGTAGTGATTCCCGCTGGAGTGGAACTCGAGGTGGATGGCGCCTGCAGAGAGAGGGGTGCCCCGAGCTCAGTGAGGGCTGGGCAGAGCTGCGGGCACACTCCCCTGGAGCACCTCACCACCCTGGCACCGCGCTCGTCCTCAGAG